GGGGGGGGGGGGGTGCGCACTCCCTGCACCCTCCCCCTAGATCCGCCCCTGCTGACGACACTCTTTTGCTTTAAAAAAAAATAATAGGAATAATAGGAATGTGTGGGGAATTAAACGGATTCTTTAAATAAAGAAGTCTCGACTGAGCTCTATTCTGTTGTACTACTCAAGAAGTAGAGAGCAACACTAGACTACATCTCGTGTTCCCCCCTACACTTCTTTCGTGTTCTAGCCGCTGCCAGTCGTGCGTGCTTTACAACGTACAGAACAGAGAACAGTCAAGGCTTCTTTATTTGTTAAAAAAGGTGATATTTTAAAGGACGGATTGTTCTCCCTTAAAATGTCGTCTTGAGCGTGAAAACTTTGATATAGCATGTTTTTAAAGATTTTTTCAAGTTCCATGCCTCTAAGTTATGGGTTAATAAAGTAAACTTGTCGAGTTTTTCAAACCATGGTTGCGTGGTTGCGTTTAACTGTGTTACTCGCATGCAAACATACTTCTCAGCCAATCAGAGACGCCTACTAAACTATGATATGGCAAGTTTAACTTAATTGCAGTAATAAAAAAGGCCAGCTTCTTTTTAATTTGAACGCCTAGTTACGCACTAATTATATAGTTGTCGTCCTTGAGTATGATCCCCGCATATTTTCATATTCTCCCTTCATTTTTTTTTTAATGTCAATTGTGCTTACACATCACTTTTCTCTGAGTACTCCCTCAAAAACAATGATTCTATCGCCATCCACTTCATTGGCAAAACACCACTGTTTGTCCTCACATATAAGTCACTCTTGTAAATATCTCGAGCGAGACCAAAGTCAGCGATCTTCATGACATAGTCTTCTCCAACAAGAACGTTTCTGGCCGCCAAGTCTCGGTGAACACACTACATAAAACAGATATGTTTTGAAAAAAGAAATGCAAAGTCAAGAAATCAGAAACAAGAAGGAGATAATAATAATAATAATGATAATAATAATAATAATAATAATAATAATAATAATAATAATGATAATAATAATAATAAGTCCGCTAATTTTAGAAATTCGATAATGGGGTGAGCTTGTAAATCAGTGTTTTATGATCTTAGTTTTAATATTTTTATTTCATCAAAATTTTAGTCTATGATAGTGGAATGTAAATTGGTCATATGTTAATAAAGATTTTTGCTATTTTAAAAAGTAATAATAATAATAATAATAATAACAATAATAATAATAATAATAATAATAATAATAATAATGACAGGAAAAACAATTTTTATACCAACAGAGAAGGGCACACGCTACAGAAAGTGAAAGTAAATAAAGACTAAACATTGTTAAACAATGCTCTTACTCTCGAACGCTGAATTGTCAGTGAGAAAACAACGCTACAGACACTTACGTCTTCGCTTCTTTCGCTCCCAGTTCATGGCTGATTTAATGTCACAGCTGTTGCGAACGCTTCTGATTTCCCGTAACCTTTTCTCCCACATGTTACTTTTTCTAATCCTTTGCGCGAGCTTTTGGCTCCTGAGGTCTCCTCTATCTGAGTTACTTTACTTTTTACCACTTATTACTCATAATAAACTCTTAAAGTGCGAATATTCGAAGCTGGGCTTTTTGAAATAGATTATCCAAACACAAATCATAATCATGGCGGTTTTTGAAAAGAAAAGATTCTCATTAAGTTTGAGAGCTAATTCCTGAGAAATAAGGTAAGTTCAAACGGTTTTTAAGTTATCAACAGTTTCATAGTCGCACATTGAATTTTTTTGGTCCGTTTACATTAACAGAGAATCTCTTGTTAAAAAAAAAAAAAAAAAAAAAAAAAAAAAAAAAAAA